CCTTTGATGATCTGTATTAAATGTATTTTCTGTTTAAATGTTTATCTAACAATTTATAAATATTTCAAAAAAAATGTTCAAACCAAAAACACTGGTGTTATGGTTTTCATTTGTTGTGACTCTGAGTTTTCTGTTATCAGTTGTTTTGTTTTTATTTTCCATTATCTTCAAGCATTCTTTGGTTACTCTCTGCTGCCCCCTTGTGATTGTTTTCTTTCCCCTTGGATTCCCTCTTGCCAGTTCCACCCACACCTGCTCCTCATTCAGCTCGTTAGTCCATCTTTTGTTTTGTTCTCCTTAAATACTCCACCTCTGCAGTCACTCAGTGCTGGTTCCTTCTCGTTGCTGTATTGTCTACTCTGCTCGTCTCTCCCCGGCTCCTCAGGCTCATTTTTTCCCCTGATGTCTCCATGGTTTTGGTTTGTTTAATATTTTAAGTTGGATTTTTGGATTTCTGCCTCTACCTTTGGTCTGCCATTAAACCTCTTAGAACTCATCTCTGCTTCCCTCGTTTCTGCATCTGGGTCCTCGAGCAACCTCACCACCCTTTGTTGACAACTGGACTTTGTTTTCCAATTTTGAAGATGTTTCTCTTTCCATCCAGAAAGAATTCTCAATTCAAAATGTTTGAGAATTGAAAATATAATTAATGAAGAATGTCAAACTAACAGTCATATTTATTTAAACTCTTTCGGATTTCAAACTACAAAATAATAAATGTTTAAAACATAATATAGAATAAATGTTTCAAATAAAGTTAATAAAATTAATAAAGTTTCAAAATTAACAGGATTTGTTTATTTTTTGGATTATATCCGGTGGCTTAAATATTTAATTTTCCTCTCATAACTTTAGCAAATAATGATCAAATGTCACCAAATCCAGAGTTTGAAGAGAGGAATAAACACAGTTAAAGACTTGCAGGTACATTAATTTCTTCCCATAGAGGGGGAATTATGTGTGATAGCATGTAGTATACTAGAAATTTATTTAATCCAATAATCTGTCATATTTTACATTAGAAAATCTTGATTTACCAGAAACTCTACTCTCTCATCTTCACTCTTAAGGCTCGACTCTTCTAGTTAAACAGTTCAACTGAAACATCATTAGTTCAACTTTTTTATTTACTTTAATCCAACTGTCTTTAATGTTCTTTTTTTCTGCATTTTTTATTGTATTTATTTATTTTTGTTCCTACTTGCTTTGATTCTGTTTTATTTTCCTATATTTTAATCATGTAAAGCACTTTGCATTGTCTTTGTACTGAATTGTGCTATACAAATAAATTTGCCTTGCCTTGCCTTGCCTAAGCCCCTGATCTCCTAGAATCCTAGATCCGCCCCTGCTTGACACCCCTGAATGAATGAATGTGTTGGTCTGTTATATAAACTCCAATAACCTCACCATGATGCTGCCATTCATAGATCATGTTTGTTAAATAGAAAAGCTTTGCAGCCCAGTATAGAGCAGAGCATGTGTGGATCACAGGTGATTTAAAGTTTAGATTAAATCTTTAGGATGCTCCTCAGAGCCAGAATGGCCCCCTACCTGCAGCCAGCTGCATCCAGCCGCAGATTTTGTACACGGTTCCGGTGCTGCAGAAGAAGAAGAGCGCAAAGCAGGTGATGCAGGTGAGCACCAGCGCCATGGACATGCCGATGAAGACGGACGCAGCCTTGAAGGCGCCGGAGGGGATGCTGTTGAACTCCATGAAGCTGCCCTTGCAGACCAGGTCCCGGGACATGCCGTTCCCGATGCAGTAGTGGAACAGACCGAAGTAGCCCACCTGCGGGGTGTCCGCGCCGTCCCCGATCCAGTAGGGCTGGATGAAGCAAACCACGTTGACGATGGCGAAGAGGATGGTGAAGATGGCCCACAGGACGCCGATGGCGCGGGAGTTGCGGACGTAGTTGGTCTGGTAGATTTTGGCAGCCTCCGAGGCGGGGAGCATGGTGGTGGTGGTGGCGGTCGTAGTGCTGGGGGCCCCGGGGACCATATCCTCTGGATCGGAGATCAGCAGACCAACATCTGGGCTCGCTGTTCAGCAGAACTTCTTTCCTCCAGCCGCGGCTTCCTCACAGCATCACTGCATCCTCCGCTCCGATCCTTCTTGCTGAGATAGAAACGGGCGCTCAGGTTTTCTCCTCTCGGCGGAAGATTTCAGCCTCGATCTGCGCTCATATCAGCAGCGGGGAAACGGGAGGCGGTTTTAGGGAGCGAGAGATGTGGACCGGTGCGTCCTCCACGCCGACAGAGCAATAACTGCAGCGGAGAAGCGGAGCTGGAGGAGATCCGGTGATATGCAGGGCCAGCCCACAGCTCCTAATCCTATTCTGACGTAGTGCTTATTCTGCAGGGCGCCACAGCTTAAACCAAAGCAGTGATGGAATAAAATGCACAAATGAAACAGCATGCAATACGGAAGAGGATTAGGGCCACAGAAAAAATAATTAACTGATTTTTAAATATTTTTTCTGTTTAATATGGGGGAAAAATCGGACTTTTTTTCTCAGATTTCTGACTTTAATATTAGAATTATGATTTTTTTTTCTCATATTTCTGACTTTTTCCTCAAAATTGTGACTTTACTCTCAGAATTCTGAAGTTTTTCTCAGATTTCTGATTTTTATCTCAAAATTCTGACTTTTTTCTCAGAATTCTGAATTTTTTCTCAATTTTTTTCTCAGATTTCTGATTTTTTTTCTCAGAATTTTAACTTTGATATCAGAATTCTGAAGTTTTTCTCAGATTTCTGATTTTTTTTCTCAGAATTTTAACTTTAATATCAGAATTCTGAATTTTGTCTCAGATTTCTGATTTTAATCTCATAATTCTGACTTTTTTTCTCAGAATTCTGACTTTAATATCAGAATTCTGAATTTTGTCTCAGATTTCTGATTTTAATCTCATAATTCTGACCTTTTTCTCAGAATTCTGACTTTAATATCAGAATGCTGACTTTAATCTCAGAATTTTATTTTGGATCTTAATCTTAAGGGGCACCCCGAAGGAAGACATGTGGGGGCGCTCAGCTTCACTAACAAAGATGTGAGTTGTTTGGGAGGGCCAGTAACACATTGGTGGAAAATGATGGAATTAGGCAACATTTTACGTGCACGATGCTCTTTCATTAATGTAAGAGAAGAGGTTATGGTGGGAGGACAGGACAATAGGTAGATAGGCAGGTAAGTAGGTAGGTAGGTAGATGGTAAGGGGGAAGGAAGGAAGGAAGGAAGGAAGGAAGGAAGGAAGGAAGGAAGGAAGGAAGGAAGGGTAAATAACTTTTTGCAATTATACTTTATGTTGTGTGTGAGGGAGAAAATTCTTCGTCCGTTTCCACATCGATATATTATCCTCAGATTCATGACCCAGGGCCTCTATAACAACTGTATCATCACGGACTAATTCACAATCATAAAGTGGAATCTCTTCAAAAATTTCTCAACCACAAGCTGGAACCTCTTCATAAGTGTCAGAATCACAAAGCAGGGCATCTTCGCCAATTGCTCAATCACTGACTGCCCTCACTGGCTCCCCTTGGACAATAGCAGAATCATAAACTAGGCCCTGGATATAAACCTTTCAATCCGAAACTAGAGGCTCTTCAACAATCTCAGAATCACAAATTGTTGGCTTTTGTGCAGTCTTGGAAGCATGTCGAGGAACAAAACTGAAAAATTCCTGAAAGCGTCTCCACAAGGATACATGATCATTAGCGTTGTCTGCTTCTGGCACTTTCATACCGACCTGCCTTGAGGATTCACAGATACTGGAAGGATCTCCAACGTGGGAACAGATTCGTCTCTGTCGATCTCAGATTCACAAACGGGGACCTCTCTGATGATCTCAGATTCATGAACCATTGCCTCTACATCAACTGTATTATTACGGACTGGGCCGTCTTGGACAATATCAGAATCATAATCTCTTGAAAAATCTCAGAACCATAAGCTGGAACCTCTTTTTAAGTGTCAGAATCACAAAGCATGGCCTCTTCGACAGTTGTATTATCACAGAATGCCCCCCTTTGAATATCAGAATCATAAAATGGATCATGGATATAAACCTTCCAATCCCAAACTGGAGGCTCTTCAATTATCTCAAAATCACAAAGTGGAACCTCAAATTGTCGGCTTTTTGGCAGTCTTTGGCGGATGCAGAGGGATAGAACTGAAAGTTTCCTCAACGTGTCGCCAGATTACATGATCATTAGTGTATTCTGCTTCTGGCATTTTCACACTGACCCTACCTTGAGGATTCTCAGGTGCTGGAAGGATCTCCGACGTGTGAACAGATTCTTCGGTGTCTATCTCAGATTCACAAATGGAGACCTCTTCGATGATCTCAGATTCATGAACCAGAGCTTCTACAACAACTGTATTATGACAGACTGGTCTCTCTTGGACAATAACTGAATCATGGTCCTCTTTGAAAATCACAGATTCACAATCTGAGGAGCCTGAATCAATCCTACGCTGACAAACCTTGCTGGCAAACTTTGAATTTTTTCTCAGCGATAGTGCGTTTTTCTCGTTCTCTTTGTACTACTGCTGAATACTTTTGAATTACTTTATTAGCAGACTTCAGTCGCTCTTCTAGTTCTTTTAAATCAAATTTTGTTTCCTTCAATTCTGTAAAGAGTTCCTTTGATTCTGTTAGAATACTTGTCTGCTGCCTTAAAACATATGCTGTGGCGTTTATGCATGATTCACACATGCGCTGCCATTTTTTTAATTCTTCAAGAGAGCGTCTCTGCGCTTCCTTGTATAATTGACATTGTTTTTCTGCCTTGATTCTGTTTTCTATCTCTTTTGTAAAACATACACCTTCTTTAAACCATGACTGAAGAATTTGGGTTTGCTCCAGAAGAAGATCCATTTCTTGAACATAATTTAATGGTTCATGGTCTTGTGTGATGTGGAACTGAGGGAAATCATTTTGATTTTCATCTTTCTCAAGTTGTTTTGTTTGCCAACAGGAATGATTGGCCTGTGTTTTAGTCTTATAGGCGCCATCATATCCTAAGCTGAGGGTCACTTCAACATTTTCACTTTGCTGCAGGACTTTTCTATCGTTCTGATAACTTTCATTGACGATATTTCTCCATCAGACTCTGTAAGGTGTAACTCAGATTTGTGTCCTCTGGGCTTTGAATCGAATGTCTCTGTTGTTTTCAAGTAATTTTGCTTCATGTTTAAATGTTTCTTCATGAAATTCCTGAAAGATTTGCTTGGAAATCCAACTGGTGTCTTTTTTCGTCTAACGTCAAGGCAAGAATCAGGGGGAACCAGTTTGTTTGCTTATAAAGCAGAGTGACTGTGACGTCACAGCTCTGCTTTGAAGGCTGTAACTTCACAGTCATCCGTGGGCGTTCCTACCGTGTATGCGTTCATACTCTGACGTCACGTAGAAACATGGACTTTATGACATTTTGCCCATAGACAGTTATACCTTTATTACCACGGACTATTAGGGCCAAGGTAGAGATTTTTTTTCTTCTATTCCGAGAATAAAGTCGTAACATTACGAGATAAAGCTGCAATGATAATAGTCATAACATTATGAGAATAAATTCTTAAGATTATTAGAATAAAATCGTAATATCAAAAGAATAAAGCCGTAAAATTACGACAATAAAGTAAAACAAATTAGAATGAAATCGCAATATTAAGAAAATGAATTAGAATAAAGTCTTAAAATTAAAAGAATAAAGTCGAAAAAAAAAATTAGAATAAAGTCTTTAAATTATGAGAATAAACTCTTAACATTATGAGAATAAAAATCGTAATATCAAAAGAATTAAGCTGTAAAGTTGCGACAATAAAGTAAAAAAAAAAATTTGAATAAAATCGTAAAATTACAAGAATAAAGTCGTATTCTATTACAACTCCTACAAGAAACACTTTCTTCCCTGAAATGAGGAATGTCGACCATCAAGTGAAGTTATACTATATTAATAATTTTCATTATTAATATAGGGTGTCCACACGTCCAGGTTTAAGTCCGGATTTTAAATGCCAAAGACGCATACTTCTTCTTCTTCCTGAGGCTCTAGACTTGGGAGCAGATTTTGTTTTTAATTTTCTGCGCTTCCTGCAGCACAATGTCCAATCTTCTATTTGCACGGATCTTGTTTTATAGGGTTCACCTGTAATTATACCCTTCACTGCAGCACATTAAAGTGGATGTTAAATTTCGCAAGCTGCTGTATTTTAGGCTGATTTATGAACGTGCAGCCGCATACTTGGGCTGTTTCTCCTATTAAACCCCTCATCCTGACAGGTCAGTATAATCCTGTCCATCCAGAAAGAGTCCTGCCACTTTTTCCTGACAGTCCCCACCAATAATTAATGCATTTTTTCTGATTTGCGTTTATTTAAGCTAGTCCATGCATTTGTTACTTCAAGGCTGGACTATTGTAATTCTTTACTATCAGGAAGTCCACAAACTGTGACTCCATCCTGGAGAAAAATATCAGCTGTGCTGCTGCCATCAACATCCTTGTTTATAGATGTTGGAGATTGGCCTGTTTTCCAGTGTAGTCCTGTTTCTCTGACTGTGAATGGCTGGAATAAATAAAATGTGAGAGAGCAAGGGCCTTGTATGGGTATCTATGAATTACGCTTACCCACGTAAATGTAATTTCCACCACGGAATGCAATGTGGTGGAAATTACAAT